CAGTAGCAGTAGCAGTAGCAGCCTTTGTAGCCTTTGTGCACAGCGGTCTCGAGGGCCGCCGCGTGGCGGAAGTAAGAGCAGGAATCGTGATTCCCGGCGCCGGGCGCACAGCTATTGCTGCCTCGTCACACAATGCGTCTGCCTCGTAAAAAGAGGCATGATGTCAATCCTCCACAGCTCGTTCAGCACAACGTTGATACAGCATAGCAATCAGGAGCATGCTGCTGAGGAAAGTGTTGCACTAAGCTGGCAGCTCTGTTGTCATCACATGACCAGATCTTATCTCCCTCAACGAGACAACAAGTATAGTGTCCGCTGTTTGGGTGCGCCCCATGGTGGGAGATAGTAGCAACCAATGAGTACCAGCAAACTCCTATTGTTAAATCCTCAGAAACGAAAATCGGCATCAGTATCCGCTTGGTCACCTCGATGGGATCTGTCCTTTTGTGGATGCGACCATGCACATGGGCAAATCTGTCGACTTGTAACGTCAGCAGTCGCGGAGGGTGTGTCAGAGCTAAGATGCAATCGCTGGATGCCGACCAGTAATCCACCAATGACTGTACCTGGGTAGTGGGGTGGAGTCCAGGTGGCATGGGAGGTAGTCGGAGAACTATTGGCTGAGTGCATAGCCCATCTTCACGAGTTTGAACTTCCCCATCAAGAAAATGCCGAGCTTGCCATCTCCCCTGCGGAAGCTGCAGATGATGTTTCTGGTTCACGAACGACATGAACTCGGCAATATCATGTTGCCTGTGGCTCTCGGCCCAGCCCGATATGATCATGCGCCATATCATATCCTGCATCCAGTGCTTAGCTACGCCTGCCCTGGACTGTCGAAGCGAACGAAAGAAACTGTGCATCCGGCCCATATCCGACAGGTCACCGCCGGCCATGTGCAGAGCCCATGCCAGAACCTGCACGGTGGAATTCATGTAGCAGCTGTTGGCGCGATTGCCCAGCATGAGCCTCAGTATCCACGAAGAGCCTCCTTGATCTTCTCGGCGACCGGGCTGGGACGTAGAGTTTCCCTCTTGAAGGCTACCCCCCCAAGTTGAAGTATGGAGTTGCCCTGAAGTTGTAGTAGCGCAGTCCAGGCCTCCAGAGCTTGGGGTGTCCCGGTGGACAGATCCATGAGGAATGTGCATGTGGCCTCCGACGTGTCCGTCAGCTTCTTGGTGCAGCTGAATCGATGCACCGTGTCCGAGCCCAGCTTCTGGGCTAGGGTGAGCAGGAGGGATGCAGCCGTTTGATCCGACAGAGGGGGTCGGGTCGTGTCCTCCTCCAGACACTTCAATGTCTGGTTCCATCGTTGGAACTTCCAACCCTTGGCTGGATCTCGCCATCCAAGACTGAAAATCTTCTTCGCCAGCTCGTCTTCCTGGCACACCCTCTCCAAGCGAACTCCCAGTTCTTGAAACAGACTGATAGCCATCACCGTTTTCAGCGGAAGAAACCCCGGCGTCCATGAGGGGTTTGCTTGCTGCTTTGCCTGAAAGCTTTTGGCAGTCTGAAACAAGTGGCTCAGGATGTTGTGCTCTCCCGGTTTCGTGAAGAAGACCAGTGCATGATCTTGTTTTAGCACTTTGATTTCTTCCTCGAGCTTGACCACGTGTCTGGCTAAAGTAGTCAACAAGTTTGGCTCTCGGTACTGCTGGGCTCCCTGCATCATCATGGGTCCCCCGAAGCTCGCTTGTGGCGGTCTCCGTCTTTTGTTCGGTGCGTTGGGATCCATTTGTGGGGCCCCCGTGATCTGGCTTCCGAACGTTCCCCCGTGCGCCCCGAAGAACTCCGCCAGCTCGTCCGGGTCCGTCCTGTGCGAGCAAGCTTATAGTGGCGCATTGGCGCATTGCCATACTACCGTACATTTCCTGACATGGGCTCGCCAGTCCTTGCAGCGCACATGGCAGTAGTGACAAGTCGGACAGGCTGTTGCAGATCGATTGATGAGCTGGTTCACGCGATTACCCAGATCGTCAAGTACAGCCTTATGTGAGTACTGATAGTGGCGTTTCATGCATCTGTGTGAGGCAATCCATTGTCCACATAAAGCACAGTTCTGCAACAGCTTGGCTGTAATGGGCTTGAGCGGGATGAATGCATTGATGCCCTGCTTGGCCGCTACCTGCACATCCGCCTGACTGTTGATAACGTTCGTGACAGCAGGATTTTCGCCCGCTTTGGAAGGCGGCGGTTCGTTCTGGAATTCGGGCGAGGAGTCCACCGACTCTACCGTCTTGGGATCGAAGAGTGGGCAGCTGTTGTTGGTAATATGAGCTGCTAGCGTCTGCCATCTGGAGAACTTCTTCGCACAGAAACGACACGTGGGCAGCCCCGAGATCGAGTGGAGTGCCTTGTTAAAGACCGGCTTTTCCGAATCCACATGCTGGTGTGCTCGTCTGGCATGTGTTTTCAGGGCTGCTTGTGTCGGGAACATGCTCTCGCAGAAAGGGCAAGCCCAAGCTAGCGTTGCAGCCTCCTGCTCCTCAGGTGTAGTGGAGTTCGCCAGCTGAGCCTCCAGGTGCTGCTGCCATTGTGGATCATACATCCAATCTGCACGCTTACGCTGGTCCTGTCTGGCCTGCTCCAGGTCTCGGTGAAAATCATCTCGGACTCGCGGGATATGGTACCTCTCGACGATGTCCTCACGCGTGTCCCCCGTGAGAAAGGCTTGATTCGAGACAATGGCCCTGACGTGTTTCATGATTGCTCGCTGTATGTCCTCAACCTGGTCGCCGGTAAGCCCGCAGTGCAGGAGGCCGTAACTCATTGAGGAGTACACACAGCTGCGCCATACTCGAAGCTTATATGAGATTTTCATACGATTAGAATGTAAGACGGACGCCAGTGCCCATCTGCGATTGTGGGCTTTGGTGAGCCGACGGCGTAGTGACCTTTGCTCGAAATGATCATAAGAAATGATCAGGCCGAGATATTCAGTGTGGGTAACCAGCTGTATCCACTGTGCCGGGTCTCGAGCATTGAGTAGAAGCTTCCTCCTGTCATCGTGTTGACGAATGTATGCTTTCTTCAGCTTATCCTTTAGGGTCCCCACCACTTTGAGGATGGCCTTGGACTTTTCGGTGTTGATGACAAGGTTGAACCTCCGAAAGCAGGCGAACACTATCCGCATTTCTGCCGTGGCGTTTTCGTCGCCCTGGTAGGTGTCAAACTTCCATCGTAGATGGGAGTCGTCCGCGACACCCCGTTTGTGTCCTCTGTTCAATGCTGGAGCACAGTAGAGCTGTAAAAGCTGCCCACAAGATTGGTGAGCCTGTACATCCCTGCCGTAGGCCTTTGCGCGGTTTGATCTCGCCGCGGAGGTTCTTGCGGTTGAAGATGTATCGGACCTGAGAGAGCCAGCTCAGTAGGATATCCTGAACAGCAACAGCTACACCTGCCAAGTCCATTGCCTCTTTGACGTGAGCCCAGTGGATTAAGTCAAAAGCGGCAGTCAAATCAAGACTGGTTTGTAGTCCCCTCTGGCATTGTGCAGTTTGAAGTCCCTCATACTGCTGGTGGATGGTCAGCCGAGCCTGTGTGCATGCGCTTCTGATGTCGTAGCAACGCGAGAACACCTGTCTCAGAGCTGTATGTGTGGTGCGGCCACGAATATAAGCGCACTGCGGATACTGGCGTATCAGCAGGTAAATTGCTTGTTCAGCCTGTTGTATGACCGCACTCATCACGCACTTCCCTAATGGATCCTGTATTCCTATTGGGCGCCAATCCAGTGGGGATTTATTGCGTCCATGCGCCTTGGGGAGTAATGCCACGTCGGCGTTGGACCATCGTTGCGGGACGTAGTTGACGTCCTGCTGCCAGTGCTGATTGAGTTTGTGAGCAACTGCTGGGGCGATAATGTCCGCACATGCCTTCCGCAGTGCTGCCGGGGCCGTGTCCCGTGGAGCTGCCTTCCGCGGGTTCAGGCGGCTGAGGTGCTTGTGTAGCTCCTCTGAATCAATCTGCAGTCCGGGGTGTGGTGGGAACGAAAACTCTACCTGAATGCTTTGGTCCTTGTGTCCGTATCGTTCCCCGTAGGCCTCCAGAATCCACTCGAGCTCTTCAGAGAATGGAATGATGTGGCCGTTCCTATGTAGTTGGAGCTTACGTCGTGGGGCCTTGGGCGCTAGCTGCTTGATGGTCTGCCACATACCATGTGCATCGCCTTGATCAGCTGCTTGCTGGGCCTGTGCAAGAAGATCGTACTTCCGTTGTTTGGAGCGTGCCTTGCTGCGCGCTTTATGGATTCTGTGTGCTTGGCTGAATCTCGTCCATTGTTTCCAAGCCGTGACCACTCCTTGCATTGAGAACAAGTTGCGTCGCATGTCCCTGAGTAGTTTCCACATGTCCCGAGCACAGTTTGCCAGCGCCACTGTGTGGGAGCTGGATTGTCAGCTCTCCGAAGCGGATAGTACTTTTCCCCGGCCTGGAGTAGTAGGGCATGGTACTCCGTAATTGGCTGATCCAGGCATGCCACAATGTCCTGTCGAAGAGCTTGCAACGCAGGAGGGGTAACAGGCTGTCGAAGATCCTGAATGAGTCGCTCGCGATCAATCCGGGCTGGTTTGGTAGTTTGTTGTTTGCCATGCTGCCCGTGGAACGGGTATAAGAGCGAAGACGGGGCAATGCTTGGGTCCATGTCTCCAAGCTGCCACCGGGAATTCAGGAAGTGCATGGGCCTGTTTCGCCTGATCTGTGATGTGATGCACTCGGATCATGAGAAAGTCGATTTGCGAGTACGATTCCGTGTTGGCTTCCCCGAACACGAAAGTTGCCAGTTGTCCGTTCTGAGGGCGCCGCCAGGTGTTCAGAGCCGTAAGATTCAGAGTGCGCCAGACCTGCTGATGATCCTGACAGTCGGTGTAGTAGAGCGGGTTATGCGGGACGACAGCCGGGCCACATGTACTTTTAAATGGCACACATGGACAATTGAAGTCGCCTCCGAGAATGAGGCCGTTCCTCCGCGGCAATTGTGCCACGGTCTTCTGCAGCTGCACGAGGAATTTTTGTCTCCTATCGAAGGTGCCGTCTTGCTGGTTGATTGCGTACTGGTATGCAACAATAATATCGACGTGTGTGCTGCCACGCGGTAAGCGAGCGTGTAGAAGCCTGCCGGGGTGCGGAGCGACGAATTGCAGGTTGTCCGCCTTAGCCAGACGAGTTGAAATGATGATGAGAAACCCGGCGACCCTGTCGTAGGGGCCTGAGCCTGGGCTGTGCAGCTAGAGGAAGTCTCGGTTCTGCCAATTTGCCTCATATGACCATTTCGTCTCAACCACTACTGCAATATCCAGCATGTGGTCCCTGATGTAGGTTTCCAGCTCTTGGAATACTGGAGAGGTGAGGCCTCCCGCGTTCCAGCAGATGGTTCTCCAATGGGTGCCGACCTGTCGAGTGGGCTTGACGGCCGCGAGTTTCTGAGGTCTGAGGTCCGAGCCCTGGAACCACTCCAGTCTTCTCCATGTGCCCTTGTAGTAGGCACCTCCTGTTCGGCAGGATCGGGCATAGGCCCGTCTGAAAGATCGCTTGACAGATCTGGAGACTTGTGTGTGACGGTCGGGAGGCTCGCTGGCCTTCCGCATTCCATTCGGCTTTGAGGCCGTCGCCGTGGCTTCGACCACTTCAGGCACTATGATGGAAGTAGTGCCAACCCTCGCATCAGTACCCCCAGCCCGAACAGGCTGTATGATCACGTTCAAGAGAAGAATCTGCAGGAAGAGTGTCATAGGCCTACTGAAGGCACGACCGGAGTTGGGACCGGTCCGGCTGAGTCGTTGTGCTTGCTGGCCTGTCGAGTGGCTCTGCTTAGCTTGAGCTCGTCATGAATGCTTTGTGGTCCGCATACGATGCCCTGCACTGTCGCCCTGAGAGTTCTGTGTCGTCACGGCCTGAGCTGAAGGCTGTGTGAAAGTCGCCGCCGTTGATCTTTTCATTGACCTGATGCGTGACCAGCACCACACGTGTTTGAGAACCTGCATGGTGAAAACCTGCATGATGTATGCGACTCCGACGAACTGCAGAAGCTGTAAAGGCTGTAAGAACTGACTGTACCAAGGAGGGCGTGCCTTTGTGGTATTCGTGGAGTCGTAGATGTACCTGGCCGCCCAGTGAACATTGCTTTGCATGCACAGGTAGAACAGCAACTGGTACCGCTGATAGAAGCAGTTTGCAGGCACTCTTTTGTCCAGTTGACAGCCGGTCGTCATGATCTCTCTGCGGAAGAAAAACGGATCTTGCCGAAAGCTCTGGCTGGCCGAAGCTATTGCAGTTCTGTGTGTGCATTGCCGAGCTTTCCGCTCACCCTTCAAGTCCCCGGAGCTCCTATGCCCTATCAGAGTGTCTTCGCCTAAGTGCACACAAGAAGACGAAATGACATTGAAGTGCATCAAAGCAGCTCTGAGATCTGCTATGCCGTACCTTGCTTGAGGAGCCAGCTTCCGTCCCGGAGTGGCCTTGGGCTTGGCGTGGGCGCTGACATCGACCTCGAGGTTGGCATTGCGGTGGTCGGCATGGGCTCGGCCAGAGGTCGACGAGGAAGCCATGTTGGAGGCCGTAGGGGGAACACCGAAGAGCTCCTGGAACTCGAGCCGGGTTTGCTCCTCAATGGTGAGCTCGTCTCGGCCCTCAGAGCTCATTGCCAGGGCAATATTCAGCGCCTCGTCAGGTGGCTCAAGGTCAGCCTCCGTGGGCTCAGTCAGCTCCGTCCCGGCATGCAGCTCGCCCGTCACGTGTTTGGATGCATCGCGGCCCCAGGTGTCAAGTGGTCAATCCGGATGGAAAGGGAGGACAACGTCCTCCAATCCCATGGGACGTACGTAAGCGCCCTTACTGGCGCCAGTCCGTGCTGCTGCATCACGTTAACGATGGCCAGAGATAGGCTTTGGGAGATGCACTGAAGATCCTGTACCTGCCTAGGCGGCGGAGGGCCTGCCGGCCCCGTCCTGGCTGCAGCTATGGCAGCGGCCTCCGGGTCAGCCTCCTCCCTGATTGCCTCGTCAAAGTCCAATGACTCCGGGTCGCTGGACATCGCAAAAGGAGGACTGAAGCCGCAACTAGCAGTGTCGGCTGTTTGAGCCTGTGCAGCATGACTTCGGCTAAAATAGCGCAGGATGATTCTGACACTGTAATATAGCAGAGGGCACTTGGAGTGCACGGCCGCTGCCAGGGAGCCGCAGGTCCTGAGCCAGGCTTGTGTCCTATGGCTTACTCTTCGTCGTCGAGATCTGGGCCTGATCCGGGACCTGTGGTAGCGGAGCCTCCATCGTCGATGCTTCTTCCCTGGGCAAGGCTTGGCTTCGGGAGTGGATAGCCGGGGTCCGGGTCGGCCTGTGTCAGTCCAGTGTTTGCAAGTCGATTTGTCCCATGGAAAAAGGATCTGCAGGGTCCGGCCATAGCATAGCTCGGATGTCCGGGTAGTACAGGTCGCACCATGCACGCAGAGCCCTCTCATTCGGTGGGTAGAGCGATGATCTGGCCGCTGTAAGCAGGGCTGCAGGGTGGGCGTCCAGCCATAGTGTGTCCCAAGCATTGAAGAAATCTGGGTTGGACAGCCAGCCCCGCGCCTCTTGGAGCATGCAGTGACCGACGATGGTTTGCCAGTGCTTTCTGAATTGTGGTCGGCTGCATAGTTCTCGCGAGTACTCCTTGGCCGGGCTGGCTGGGATTTTATTCCCGCTCCTGGCGACCATGTCAGGGTCTCCTGTACAATCGCGTTGCAGACAAGTAGTAGCACTCCGTAAGCATACGCTAGCATTGACACCAAGGCAGAGCCGGAAATTGTTCGGGATTCCAGGATCACGGCTACCAAGGTGTCAGCTATGGCTCGCGGCAGCCTAGTCCGAGGGCTGCCGACGGCTTCAGCCGAGATGCTTGTAGCAGTAGCAGTAGCAGTAGCAGTAGCAGTAGCAGTAGCAGTAGTAGGAGCAGTAGTAGGAGTAGTAGTAGTAGTAGTAGTAGTAGTAGGAGCAGTAGAAGGAGTAGTAGTAGGAGTAGTAGTAGAAGTAGTAGCAGCAGTAATTTTAGTAGTAGTAGTAGTAGTAGTAGTGGTAGTAGTAGTAGTAGTAGTAGTAGGAGCAATAGAAAGAGTAGTAGTAGTAGTAGTAGTAGTAGTAGTAGTAGTAGCAGTAGTAGTAGTAGTAGTAGTAGTAGTAGGAGAGTAGGAGCAGTAGTAGGAGCAGTAGTAGGAGTAGTAGTAGGAGTAGTAGTAGTAGTAGTAGTAGTAGTAGTAGGAGGAGAGTAGGAGCAGTAGTAGGAGCAGTAGTAGTAGTAGTAGTAGTAGTAGTAGTAGTGGCAGTGGCAGCAGCAGTGACAGTGGCAGTGGCAG